GTTACATTTTTGTAAATCCTGATGCTGTGATTTTTTTTTTTTGTTTTTTTGTTGATACAATCAAATGTTTACAAATTTACTCTGTTCTGGCTCTAATGTCCATTGAAAAATAAGAATCAAGTTATATTTTTCCATGTGGAGGCAGTGTGAATCGTCTTATTGGTTATAATGGCTGCATATTAGCTGTGAAGCTTACAGCAGAGCGGAGTGGAATAAAGTGGAGCTTGATGCAGTGAAAACTTGAGTTCAAAAGGGAAAATGTTCTATTTATCATCTCCCACTTATCTGTAATGGTTGCCGTTGGGCTGGTGCCCATCCCCAGAAGTCTATGGGTGAAAATCAGGCTATTCCTTGGACATGTCCCCCGTCTTTCACAGGGCGGCTATAATGTCTACTGTATGTACATTATATCCATTATTCAAACCTTTAAAGAAATGAAAACATTTAACATACCTGTGTAACTATAGGTCCCTGCTGGCTTACACTCAGGTAAGGCAGGTCAAGGCCTAGGTATGGAAACCTCAGAAATGTTTTGCTGAGCTCTGTAACAACACACAAGGACTTAACAAGGGGCTTATACAGTCATTCAACTGCACCTAAGCGTGCATGTTTTCATGCATAGTTTGTTGCTTTCAATGGCCACATTTTAGAGCCATGAGACATTTTGTCTAAAATAAGTTAATGGTTTATTTAATCTGCAATAATATTTGGCATCCTGAAGTATTGTCGGTGTTACCTGAGAATTGTCACATGTTATACTTGCTGCAATTTGTTCCATTTTCCCTCTTTATTTGCTTTGGGATTTCAGGTATTTGGAGCAAAGCAAAGTCAAGCTGACCAATATCAAAGTTACTCCGTTTGGCATTTGGCAAAACGTAAGCTTCTATTTATGTTGCTCATTCTGCTTATCTAAACTAGGAATTAAATGGGTTTCTTGGGACTTTTTTTTGACAGGTTGATGAAAACCTGAGGTTCATGATTCTGATGGATGGTGTCCATCCTGAAATGGACACCTGCATTATTGTTGAATACAAGGGTAAAAAGCAGTTAACATTACATAGTTGACAGTGAATTTTTAAAATGGGGAAAGTACATTTTTGTTTATTTTTTTTTTTTGATTGCAGGTCACATGATCCTGAACACGGTGGACTGCACCAGACCAAATGGTGGCAAACTACCAGAGAATGTGGATCTGATGATGAGTGACTTTGCTGGTGGTGCATCTGGATTCCCCATGACATTTCAAGGGGGGAAATATACTGGTGAACTTAACTACATTTTGTGGACAGCAATGCCAGTTTTTTGCAATTCAATGATAGTTTATGTCACTTATTGTAAAATATTGAGTTGGGATGACTACAGATAATTTAGAGCATTTTATAATCATAATATCTGCTTTTGTGTGTTTGGCCTGGTTAAAAAAATAAATGTTGTTGATTTAAAAGTTTGACCTTTCATAGAAAAAAAATCAGCTTTGAGAGAACAGTCTTGAACCTGCAAACCAACTGGTTTTAAGGTGTTATGGTTTTTTTTGTTTGTTTACTTAAAAAACCCACTGTTATCTTATTACAAATGTTTTTTTTATGCTTGTGTGTATGTTTCCTCATTCTCAGACTCTTGGAAGGCAGAGTTCATCAAAACTGAAAGGAAGAAATTATTGAACTACAAAACTACACTGGTCAAATCTCTGCAGCCAAGGATCTACTGTCCCTTTGCTGGATATTTTGTAGAAGCTCACCCATCTGACAAGTTGAGTTTACACACAGGGGTTGGTCAGAGTTTGTACAACAATAATGGTTGATTCATTAATTAGCTTTTTTGCATTTAATCCAGACGCAGGTTAATAGAAAACTGTATATTTTAACCAAAGGGTTAAATCAAACAACCTTCACATTCTATTGGCCTGAGGTCACAAAAGATGCAGCTTTATTTGCCATTTATCTTAGAAAGATAATCTACAACATGGATAACAGAAACAATGGGACCTAAACAGTAACCTATAAATGTTTGATAGTATACATGGATCTCTCAAAAGTTTTTTTCTTTTTTTTGTGTTAAGGTCCATTAGAGATACAAACACCAAAAACAAAGCAGAAGACCTCAATGCACTTATCAATAAGCTTGCACCAGAAATAAAAACGTGGACACCCAAGCCTGGCGCCGTGCTGGACCTTGGCCTTGCACTGAAAGACCCCACAAGCAGGTTGGCAATAAATCAAAGTTGTCTGTTTGTCTTTAAGTTAGGCAGAAGTTCTGATTGTTTAATTTGTAACCTGCATAGGCTGAGAAAAGTACACCTTGGCAGCAGAATCATAAAAAATGAACTTTCAGGTGACAGTAGTGGTGTATTATAAACTTTCTAAAAACCTTGTTCTTCTTCTTATCGTACTGGGAGGAGACATCAAATGGCACGGAATAGATTAGAAATCAAAAAGTCCAAGATATGCTACAAATGGTCGTAATATGCAAGGAAGACAGATCATAGTAGTGTTCATGTGAATTAATAATGATCAGATATTTATAACTCTAATCACTTAGTTTCAACTTCAAGCAAAAATACTGGATGGAATTTAAGTATGTTTGTGAGCAGATGTCCTGAAAGTGTAAAATGCACCTTTATTCATCCCTTTTTACTTAGGCGCACCTTCTATAGATAAAATATGTTGTATCCTATTGTCATCTATTTAGTAATGGGTGTCTATCGATTAATTTACTCTGCATATGAATCCAGCTGTATCAAACTGAAAAAATACAAGGAAACACAGCAGACAGTTTGGGAAGGAAGTTCGGCAAAGATTAGACGCAGGGTTGACTTATAAAGCAATATCCTCAGCCTTGAAGGTCTGTAGAGCTCTTTACAATCCTTCATTTAAAATCAGAAAGGGTATGGCTTGGCTCCAAGGCTACTAAGAAAAGTTTGTTAACCTAAACTGACAATGCAAGGAGAGGATACTGCAACAAGACCCTGGGATCTTCCGCTCAGGTTGGAGAAACTGCTGTTTGGAGAAACTGCCAGTCTTCAAAAAAAGGTGTCCTGGTTAAATAAAGTAGGAATGATAAGCTAATAATCAATAAATCTGACCTGGTTTAAAGTTTGCCACATGATCGCTAAAATCAACACAGCAAATTGATTAAAACAATGGAAGAATTATGCATCTATTTTTATACAGTCACACAAATAAATCCATCCCTTGTATCTTTTATCTGAGATCAGTTCTGAGGGTAAGAAAGCACAGAGGGGAAACTTAGACATCCATGTTATCAGGTCAGCCTTGGTGAAGGCTCTTTGTCATACATCTTCAAGGCAGATTCTAGCCGGCCTACAGATGTTGCTGATTTCAACCATGAGCGTGTTAAGATCTCGCCCTTTTGCGACACCAAAAAAAAAGCCCTCCACAGATCCACAACACATAAAGTGTGAACGACAAACTCACTCAGCAGTTATGCAAAATTAATATTTAAGTTCTGTATTCTACAGCCAGGACTAAAGCTACAGTGTACTTGTTTTTAACCAGCTTTTCTGGTGTAAGCTTTGCTCATTGTGCCTTTAGTGTGGAAACTGACCGAAAAAAATAATGCAACCTTTAATGGCATTTACTTAATCGTGTTTAGTTACTTTCACACAACTGTTTTGTTCTACCCTGCTACTATGAAATAATTGTGTTAAAGTAACTAAATATAATTTAAAAAAAAATTAAATGCCAAAAGCGGATGCATTATTTTTTTCAATGCATTCAGAAAGTTGAAAAAGCTGAAGTGCTGTTTAACTCACTAATCAAGACAAGTCAGAAGATCCCCCTTTTTGCAGCTGCAATGTGGCATCTACATCAAGGGCTTTTGAATTAACCTGCACCCCATGATACCACTTTCCCTAGAGGGTGAGAAAGTTCAGATCTTCTTCATGATGTTTAGAGGACATTCTTATCAATACCTGGTTGATGACACTGAACCTGAACTACTATTGGTTGCAAGCTACCCGGTTCGATCCCCACAGCCTCCACTATGGGTTCCTGAGCCAGACCCTTAACCCCACAATGCTACCTGGGTGCCACAGAATGGCAGATCACTGTGAAGGGCTAAGGCGTTTTTCATTAGACTAAAAATAAACCTTTAAATGGGTACTTCTGTCACAGTTTTGAAGTTTCACATTCTAAAATTATTTCTTGCTTCTGGTAAACGGATGAGGCAGTACATGATGACGGAAATTAGTCATTAACACCTAGCCTGAGAGACCATAATGGATAAAAAGTGTATTGGTATATTCAAACTATAAAATCTCAAGCCTCACTGCTGTCTTTGCTATGATCAATTACAGTGAGGCCATCATTGATCCTCCAGCAAATACCAAAATCTACAAGGACAGCTGGGAGTTTGACTTGTATGTGAATGAGCTGAACAGCGCTATCAGCAGTGAGATATTTAAACATCAGAGCTGGATCCAGTTTTATTATACATGGGCAGGATTTCAAAACTACAACCTGGTGGTTCGGGTAAATATGTTTGACCAGAGGAATCAGCTCTACTTTTCAACTCCTCGGCCTGAAACTCCCTGCTCTTCCTTTATGTTTTTGGGGTTTATTTTATGGCTGCTGCATTTCTTGTTTTTCTACTGTGTTTTTTGCTGTGGATGTCTGGGTGATGGTGTTAAGGACTCTGAAATCTTTGTTTGCCAAAACAAACCAAGTTTTTACAGCAAAATGTTCCCAAGACACAGTTTCTCAAAAAGTTCAGCTGCATGCTCACCACAGACCACAGAGGAAAAGACTAAAGCTCAAAATAGGCATACAGCACAGGAACCAACAACACTGCAAAGGTTTTATTTTCAGTAAAGAGATTCCCCAATTGAATCCAATTCAACATAGACCAGCCTTCTCTGGTAGTGAAAACCTTAAGACTCCTCCTGTGTGGTGAAACTATTTTCATGCATGTCAATCTCAGAGTGCCTCCATATGTATTCCTCCCCTTAGTTTTTTTAAAAGGCTTGTAATACCATTAAACCCATTCAGGTTTTTGACAGGGTTATTTATCTTCGGACCAGATAACATCCACACAGTAGTATGAGGCACAACACAACAACACTGATAACACATACTTTGCACCAGTTATATTAACTGGATGTTCTATAATGTTTACACAAGTGCAAGGTCATTTTCTCTCAATAGAAGCTACAAAACTCCAATAACTACACTGACTGCAGCTGGGTTGTTGATAAGCACAAGATTGTGCCAGATAATAATTAAAAAGAAGAAGCACATAGTTCAGTTACCACAGATAAAAATAAAATAGCTAATGTTAATAGTTCACTTTTCAAATAATGACCTAAGTTCCTCCTTCCTAAAGATAACTAGTTAAAGTTCATCTGTTAAAATTAAAATATGCTTAGACAGTAAAACCTCTATGTGAAGATTAAAATACCAGTTGCAATCTTGGTATACTATACATGCAGGGAAAACTTTATCTAGCCTGCATGAGCCAATTCACAAGGAACTAAAAACACATACAAATATATTTAGGTTCTTTTGAAAAAATCTAACATGAAAAAAAAATATCCATTGTAATTTGAACTAACTTAACTGTAGTTCCTAAGTTGCTACACTAAACTAAAGATTGCTTTATGTCATGTAAACTTAGGCTTACCCTGCTCAAAGTGTTAACACCAAACCCAAATGTTTTACATCATCAAAAGGAAGTCACCGGCAAATCAACAATAAAAAAGGATCCTAACATTATAGTTGTTCCAAAAAAAAAAAAGAACATGTAGCAGCCGAGCAATTAAGCTTAATTGGAGTTTACCCTTCTAAGTGTACAATACTGAACAAACAAATTTTAGCATCCTCAAAAAGTAAGGAGGAAGCAGCATTAGGTAAACAATTAAAGTCATTCACATTAATTTAGGCTTTCTTTTTCCTCCTGACTATATTTGTACTCTAAAAAATACTTATATACTACAGCAAATAGTTATAATAAACTAAAATAGCTTTTAAACTTCATTTGAGAAACTGGATTCCCTGTATGGAACAGATTGCCAGGTCCTTTAAAGTGCAATAGAAATGCAGCATTAAATGAAAGTAAACATACTATATCATGCTATTTATTCCAATTACTTTAAAACTAATCCATTCAGTTCAAGGCTTTGTATTTGTATAAAAATCGTATTTATATTAATAAATATATTAACATAATAATTAACATAATAAATTAACATAATAATATTAAATTATTAATAATATTTATTTATATTAATATTTGTATACTAATTTGTATAGCACAGTTCAGTACATGGAAATTTCAGAGTGCTTTACATAAATTACTGTAGATAACACATTAGACTAAAGGAAAAAAGGTGAATAAAAAGGAAAATTTGTAATTCACAAAACTATTGGACCCCAGAAAAGGATAATAAAGGAAAGTTAAAAAGAATTATAATTCAATGAAAATATAAATATATTTTATAAACATAACTTATTGAATGCATTCATGCTCGCCACTGGATAGGAACCCATGAATGGGTTTAATCGAAATTGAGAATGACGGTATGGGTCTAGTTTGTAGAGATGCACCTACATAAGGCCTCTTCAGCAATGTTTTTCAAGGAAATCGCACCACAATGAATACTTTACTAGAAATACAGAAATATTCTCTGACAAAAAATAAAAAAACTGTAATTATTCTTATAAGGTAAGCCTCAAAAGGTATTTCCTTGCCAGTACCTATTAACAACTTACACCCACCTGCTTCTAACGCTGAAGGAAATCTTCATTGATACCAGTGTGGTTCTGCAGTGCTGTCATACAGCACAAGTCATAGTAATATATTTCCTTGAGAAAACTGTGGCACAATGGGAGAGTAATTCAGACTGAAACTCTTTGGTTTGATCATAGCTTATTCTTACAATATAATGATAGTAAATTGGGGAAGGCTCTTGACCTGAACTTTGCCCACTGAATGGATCTGGGCCAAACTGGATGGATAAAAAAAAGCTATCAATACCTAACCATACAGTACAATGGTCAATTCATGAGGCTGTGAAGTTTTAGATGAAAGCTGAAGGTCAAACATAACTTCCATAAGTTGAAAAACAGATTTCCTGTAAAATATGACAACCTATCAAACAAACTTTACTTGGAGCATAGGAGTCTCTGCTGAACCCTGGTAGATGTAAGTCTAAATGTATTCAACTGTAGACTTGGATAAACATTTTTGCTGTCTTCTAATCTACACTTCTTTATTCTTCTTACTCAAACCTTACTTTTGATCCCTTTAATTTTCAAACTAAGAATAAATATAACTGGTATTTGAATTATTCTCACTGCTGTTTTCCATGTAGATGATTGAAACAGATGAGAGCTTTAAGCCACTGAACAACGGCTATGACTACCTGGTGGACTTTCTGGATTTGACATTTCCTTCCACAAGGCCTGACAGAGAGCACTCCTACATTGAGGTAAGAACAAGTTTCAGAACTCAGAGCAAAGTTAAAAGTTTGGGTAAAAAAAGAGGAATAAAGTAGCAGCCATTCAAAATGGCCCTGCCAAGGGGCAGCCCACATCCCTCCAAATCCCAGCGAAAACCCCTCTAACATCCAGCCACTTAAGTGACCCTCTCCTGCATATTGTTTTTTTTTACCTCTGACTCCACCCTTTTACTGAATTACAGGGTCTGACCAGTGGATGATGCTTCTCTTTAGATCTTAATCTCCATAAATCATGACAGAAAGAATATTTTAGTACAAATATTGTTGTTTAGAAATGAATTAAACCGGACCAGCCAAGGATTAGCCCAGGGCCCAACAAGGAAAGTGGAGAAAATTTTGAATGGCTGTATTCACTTTTCAAGTGGAATTCTGTAAAAACATCACAATACAATATTCTATCAAGAATGTATCAAATATCTCATGAGTTTTTTGGTGTCAAGCTTCTTAGAATACCAAGCTAAGAATTCCTCTTAGCCATTCTTGACTGTTTCTAGGTGTCTGTTTTGGTCATTATCCTTTTAAAGAACCATGACCTGTGACCAACTTTTCTGACACTGGGCAGCACATTTCTATTTAGAATCTATTGATATTCTTGCAATTTCATTGAACCCTGCTGAGTTTAAAGGTGCACAAAACAGCCTTTATGTTTAACAGTAGGGAAAGTTTGTCTTTGAACATATAGCTGATGTGTCTTACCAAAAGTAAAATTTTTGCCTCACCAGTCCTTTAGACATTCTCCCAGAAGCTTTGTGGCTTATTAACATGTAGTTTGGTAAATTGCAGTCTGGCTTTTTATGATTTGATTCAAAAAATGTCCTCCTTGGTTGTCTCTCCCATTAAGTGTCGAGGCTCAGACAAATGGACCCAGAATTCAGGCAGACAGAACAGGTTAGTTCATAGCAAAAATCTTTAATTGAAAGCTCTGGATTATGCGACTCGTCAGCTGGGACCCGGTTTGCTGGCTTCTCTGGTTATAAGTTCACTCTGGTTATAAGTTCAGGAGTGGGAGCCAGTCACATGATTTCTCCACAGCATGCTCCGGGTGCTGCCCAGAGAGTTCCAGGAGCAGAGCAGAGCAGCCAATAGATGAGAACAAGAGGGTCCACAGGCAGAATCCAGAGCAAGCAACAAAGCTGGGTCCAGACCAGAAGATAAGATAGATGACAGGTACCAAGGGGATAATCCAAGCCAGGATCAGGGGACAGATCCCAGGTCGCTAACAGGCAGAATACAAACAGCAGTACGAAACAGGAGATGGGCAGAAACATACAGAAAGAGGAGCAGACCAAATCTCAGGAATCCAGGGGCAAAAACAGGTCAGGATCAGGCGAACTTGGGGGACCCAAGAAGAGGCAATGAGGAGCGCCTGTTGAGGGGCCTTGGAGGTGAGGAGCGCCTGCTGAAGGGCCTTGGAGGTGAGGAGTTGCCGATGATGGGCCTTGGGGACACACTATCACCAAACTCTAAATCATGGACCAGTTCTTCAGCGTGCTCAGGGGTCTCTGGAAAGCACAGAGCAGGCCCCTGGATGGCACAGAGTGGGCTGAGGGGCCTCTGTGGCCTCATGTGGAGAGGAAACACTAAAGAGGTCTTATATTGAAGAGGAAGAACTAAGGACGAACTAAGCTTGGAGAGAGGACACACGAGAGGTCTAACCTTAAAGGGAGGAAGCTAGGGGTCTTGGGTGGTGGAAAAAGGCAAGGAGGAATATGGCTAACAGCAGGCTGACCAGAGGAGCTCTGAATTATTTGGATCTGCTCCACAAGGAAGTTGATTTGTTTTTAAAAACGATAACATGAACCTGCCGCGTCGTGCATCCAGTTGATTGATATCCTCCTTTAATAAAGCCTGGTGCTCCTCCTCTTTCTCCATTTATTTCTCCTGAGCGCCCAAAACTGAGACAGAGTCTACTGGGTCCATTTCTGGCTGTTTGTACTGTCACAGTTGGGGAGGTTTGACAGGACCCAAATGCAGAGACAAAAAGCTGAAGTGGTTTCTTGATTATTTAATTAACTAAAAAGTTCAACAGAAGCCAAAAGCCAAAACATGAATCCAGTAGATTCTCAAAAACTGAGAACTACTGTCCTTCTAATGCTAAAATGGGGCAAACAAATGATGACAAACCAGCAAAGACTGACTGAACAGGAGGAGAGTAAATGGGAGAGAGAAATAAAGACCAGGGTAATTAGCAGTTTGGTAGCAGGTGTGAACAGAAACAAGAAGGGAGCTTGGGAAAAGGAGCCTGACACAAGAGGGCAAACAAAAAATATCTAAGAACTACAATACATTAAAAAATAGCTAGAACACAAAAATGGAAATTAGACCAATGAAAACTCAGAGATAAAACTTAAACAGAACCAAAACCATGACAGTTTTGGTCAGGTCAATGCAGCACATCCTCAGGAAACCCTCCAAATGACAAAGGCTTACTTTAACACCTGAATACTTAATCAAAAGCAGACCCATAAAGATACAGATCCAGTGCAGGTGAATAAAAGCCGATGGGAGATTTCTCAAAGAACAAAGATTTCTGCTCCCTCTTACCACTAAAATCAGTGAAATCAAGGCTTTTAATGTGGTAATTTCAGGGTGAACAGAAATCTAAATACCTGATTCTAAGATCAATCAGTATGTTTATAACAATAGAATTCCCCCATGGTTCTCCAAACTGATATTGCTCTGAATTGTGTTTCGTGCAAGTAATATATAAATAACTACATCTCTAAAGTTCTGCCAAAAAAGCAGGGATGTCAGGAAAACTTACTGGATCAGTGGTTTCAAAGATGTTTCATGTTGAGTGGGTCAGCTAGTTGTTTTTTTTATGTGACTTCCAGGGGGGAAAAAAAGTTTCACTGTGTTTTATTTTCAGATTAAAAACAGAATTGGTGTGATGAGGTACGTGGTGCTACATGGATGTCTCTGGGATGACCTCTACATTGGCTTTCAGAACCGCATCAGCAGAGATCCTGATGTTTACCACCACAAGTATGACCAAAAAAAACTCTCAATGTATAATGTGTATACATTTCAAATCTAACTTTGAAGGATCTCTAGAATTCTCTTAAACAAAGCAATTCTCTCCTTTGGTCTTCAGGTTTTGGAACCACTTCCAGACCCAGTTACCGCTTCGCTGTCCAGACTGGGGCGCGTTTCTGCAGCAGGCCCCCCCGATTCAGGAAACAGTTGCATCTGCATATGAAGGCTTAATGAACTATTGCTCTGTTTTATAGATCTGGAAATAGGGGAACATGAAGATAAAGTTGAAGAGGTTCTGGTTTAAATTATTGTATTAAATTCTACGAAGTACAGGATGAATTACAATTTTAAAATTATGAATCCACTGCACTAAATGAAAGAAATTTATTTAACTACATTGGTGGGAGCTGTTATTCAGGGAAAGAAAACTGTTAAGTCTGAAGGTAGTTGAATGTATTTTTAATGTTTACAAGGGGTTAAACTGTTTATGGAAGTTATCTTGAGTATCTACTCTGGTGTTTTTTTTTCTTCTATTTTCTTGTACTGTTTATGCATAGTTTCTTATCCAAATGAGGGTAATGCATTAAATCAGTTATAGAGCAAGGTCACACATGATGACTACTGCCATTTAAAGAGAGCAAGTGCAAGAGAACAAGTGTTTGTGAACTTGGCATGATTGACAATTTGAAATTGCTTTACAAGAATGAAACTGTAAAATAGAGTGAAAATACAAGCAGAATAAAAGCAAGTAACGATAAAAACTATTAAAGCAGTTAGTAAAACATAAAACAGTTAGACCACAAACTTAAACTAATGATGTCGCAGTTAACACATTGGTGTTGGTGCATGAATTGTGAGTTATTCTAGATGCCTGGACTTTAGTATTTTAATCCTGGAAATGTTCTTCAGGTGATAAAATGTGCCTCTGAAGAGTAAGGACTGAGTCTAGCCAACGCTTTGATTGGTTCATAGTCACCCGGTGACAATGTGCTGTAAAGCTGTGCGTCATCAGTATAGTTATGATAGCTGATCTGTTGTTTGCTATGATATTAGCTAAAATGAGAGTGTAGATATTGAATAGGAGGGAAGTTCTGCATGGGATTTTTTCCGGTCTCTGATTTAAAATTCCCTACTGACACAATAAAAAAGGAAAATGTTTAATGTTGGTGAATAAATACCTGGTTGATCTGCATCCCACTCTGCATCAAGTCTCCTTCTTAATCCAGCCGCTAAGGGCCATCTCTGACAAACATTAATGACATTTTATAGAAATTACCTTTTACAATTTTGTTTTTGTTTCTTCTGTAAGTCTAGGGTGCAATAACCATTGTGCATTTGTGCATATAAAAACATGGCTATTTCCGATTAGTTTGGAAATGTTATGATAATTATGATTTTTTAAACAAATTTTGGCATTGTTCTTGTAAATCTGCCTAAGTACCATGGAAATAAATCACCTTTTTTCTGTATAAAAAGTGTTTAAACTAGGGACAGGAGTGAACTTGTCATGATCGGTTTAAGGAATCTGACCGACATGCAGAGAAACCACTCAGAGAACACGGGGAAAAGTTTAACGAGTTTTTTTGATGTAACATATACAGGAGTAGGATCTGGAACTCAGTGGACTGGTGAACCAGAACTGAAAAGTCTGATGGGGAGATCACAGAGATCAGTTCAGGGACTGTAGGAAATTTGACTGCGGCTTGAATAATGCAGGAGAGGGACTCACGTTTGAGGCGGCTCTTGTTAATCCTTCAATCCAGTCTGTGTGGGGGTAATCCAGAGAAGGGGGGGAACTAGTTGGAGAGCGGACAGGTAGACATTCTTTGGACCCAGAGGAGTAATGGTGCGGACTGTCACTTGGATTTCCGATGGGAACTTGAACGGATCATGTGGAGGTTTTCCCCTGCTCAGTGTATTCTCAGTAATTCCTTCCAAGGGAAGAAGGTCCAGGCATTCAGTTTTCACAGGTAGGCTTCCTGTTGAAGAGCAAAGACAAAAAAAAATTCTTATGAACCTCTTAATTGCAAACATGAATAGCTCCGAGGGGAGCAGTTGGAAAAGGGATGGTAACCGGGGTGTGAGGAGTCCCTGATGGTGCTCCGGGCTCACCTAAGCAGTGCGTGGAGTAAATCTCTTTCAGGGAAGAGAGACGGCAGCGAGTCAGGCGCATTGCCAATGATCCTGGCCTCCTCTCTGCTATTGTGCAGCTAGAGAACCACAGAGAAATCCCGCAGCTCAGCAAGAACTCCACAGAACAGCATTAGAAGGACAGCAACAGCTGTGACCTCAGGTTGTTCCCCCTGACAGTCCTCAGGAAGTACAGCCTCTGTTGCACCTTCTTCAGGATCGCTGTATTAATGGTCCACATCAGATTCTTACTTATGGTAGTCAAAATAAGTCACTACTCTGGTTCACTAGTTACCTTTCAGACCGGTATCAAACTGCCAACTACAATGGGACAGAATCTCCTCTCCTTCCTCTTCAGTGCGGTTTACCACAAGGTTCCATCTTGGGTCCCCTGTTATTTTTAATATATGTTAATGACCTCCCCAATGTTTCAGATAAACTTTCTAAAATCTTATTTGCAGATGATACAAGTGTGTTTTATTCCCATAAAAACCCTGAAATTTTAATAAAGGTAGTTAATGAAGAACTTGACAAGTTATCCTCTTGGTTCAAGTCCAACAAATTGTCACTTAAAATAAAAAAAACAAGTTATATATTTTTTTGATTATAAGTTTGATACATTTAAATCTCCAATGAAAATTCAAATTTATAATACTTCTATTAATAATGTTAGATTTGCTCGTTTCCTCTGTGTTATTCTAGATGATTCTTTATTCTGGAAACCTCACTTTAGTGCCATAAGTACAAAAATAGCCAAAGTGGTCGGTATACTAGGAAAAACTCGGCACTTGATTAACAAAAAAGTTACTAAATGATATTTGAAATTGTTTTATACAAAGATTGTTGTTTTTTTTGTTTGTTTTTTTTACACAATATCATATAGATGTCTGAAATGGTGAAATATATTTGTTTTTATGGAGACTGCCACTCATTAAGCCCCTTGAGGGTTAATGTTACTTAGTTGAGGGCAGTTGTCCATCACATTTTCTTTTTCAGTGAAACATTATTCTGTTTTTATGTTTTTGTTGTGAAAATAAAAATAAATAAATAAGAAATAAATAAATGTGGATGCTTAGGAACCTGTGGTCCAGCACCACTTCCAGTCTGAGGCTATTGATAGTAATGGGTTGTGTTTACACCTCCCAAAGTCAACCTTGAGCTCCTTTGAGTTAGGTGTTCAGACTCAGGTTGTTGTCCATGCACCTTGTGGACAGAAGATGAGTGTTGGGATCTGGAGATCTGCCACCAGTCTCCAGCAGAGAGCGCTGTGGGTCTCCTGAGCTGGAGCCTTCTACACACCTGGAGCCAGCCACGTGTGGAGCAGGGGGCTCAGCGCCCAGCCCTGTGGAGAGTCAATGCTGTTCCCTCAATAGAAAGGACAAATGCTTTCCTACTTTCACCCTCTGGGATTTTTGCTCACCAACCAGATCCTGATGATAGTGTTGAAAGCCAAGCTGAAGTCCAGTAAGAGCAGCCTCCTACAGCTCCATCACTGCTCCACATGAGTCAGCATGCTGTGTGGGGCAGTGTTGATTGTCCTACATGGACTGATTGGCTCTGTAGCAAAACTGGTGGGGGTCAAGAGTTGGGGACAGATGTGAGGTGGTTTCCCCAAGCACTTCATGAATATGGGCATGAGTGCTACTGGCCGGTAGTTATTGTGGCTGGTGATCTTGTGGCTGGAGGTCTTCAATGCGCTGAACTATATAGTCCAGCAGAGCACAGCTAATAATAACAAATTGGAGCGATTAGGGACAATTTCCTGGTGTCTTCCCATCAACACTGAAAAGGCCCGACTGTCTAAACAAAGCATCCCCACAGCATAATGCTTCCACCACCTGAGCTACAGGTGTGCTCAGTGTGAGGGTTAGTTTTCCTAGAATCATACTATAAATGCATGCCACACTTAGCCACTTAAAATAAAATGTGTTATATGTCATTGCAGCATCGGTATATATATATATATATATATATATATATATATATATATATATATATATATATATATATATATATATATATCAAAATATAAGAAAAATAAGACATCACTCTGCCTGGCATTTTTTTTCATGCTTCTTCTTTTCTTATCCTTTCTTATCAAGTCTCTTTAAACGTAGATAAAATGGTTAGAGCAAGTGATGTCCAGAAATCCACAGTCCTCGACATGGCCATTCAATGTGTGTTTACCTTTGTTTTATGTTCCATTTTCTTTCAACTCGTTTTTCCTGTCGGCTAACTGTCTGATATTTTCTACTAGTTCCCCAAAAAACTAAAAACATATAAGCTTAGATGCCCATTATTATTTCATCTGTGGTAGACATTTTCAGATGTCATATTTTACATGAACTTAAAACCTGCCAGCCTCTAAACTGTTGTATTTTGACTGAACATTGTTTCCTCAAAGGATAATGAGGAATGCAAGCTTCTAGTTTTGAAATTTGCATATCAAGACATAATGCAGCTGAGGAGATCTTTTAAAATCTGGATTACAGTGAATGGCAATACACACAGTATGCCACATTGGGATTTTTTTTAACAAAAAAAAAAAGTTGTACAATTATGCATGTGCTTGCTTGGAAAGGACTTGCATAACTCAGCAATAAAAAATGTGTTGTACGACAAAATGTTCAGTTTATTTTGGATATTTGCTTCGTGTGTGTTTTTTTTTTTTTTTTAGCAGCCTGGGTGGAGTGAGCAGGTGTGCCGAGTTGGGCATTAAGCCAGCACCAGTGCCGAGATCTTCACACTAAGGGGCTCTGGTTTTAGAAAAGCTGGCTGACAGGAAATTGATAGAGGTCACAGGAAGGGAAATATGTGTTCCTTACCCCCCCCCCAAATGAAACTAATTATTCAGATTCTGATTCTGGAGGGGGAACGCTGTGAGTCCATGGATGCAGAAGGGTTGTGACTCCTTGAATTAACCAACAGAGACCGTGGAAGCAGGAAATCTGTGGAAGCAGAGTCTGGTATGGCTCAGTAGTGTTGTCTCCTCCTATACTCAGCCTGTCCCTTTTATCGGACAAGACCTCACTCTGTGTCCCTCTCTGCCACAGTAGAAACACAGGTTCAGCCAACAAAGTTTTCTTCTCTTATTTGGACAAGCCTGTGCATCCCCGCTGCATCAGTTGGGGATCTGGTGTTTGGGCCGGAACAAGAACCGCCACAGGTGTAAAAGGAGCGGGGTGATGAGCTGGTCGAGGACTTGCCGACTTCAGAGCTCTCTGCTCTTTGCAACATTCCTTGAGACGCAGATCTATCAGGGTGGCAAAGTCCTCCAGATGCTTTAGGGTCCAAGGGTAGTCGTTTGTTGAAAGGTTATCCTTAATACTTTCATTAAAGCCAAATATAAAAACATCCATGAGGTTGTTCTCATTCCTGGTACTCTCAAAGGATAACAATATACTTCACCACAGTGTCCGAAAAACCCAACATTGACCAAGACCATCCATAAACAGATCAGGGGGTGAAAGACACAGCTCCTGCCAAACCGGTCTGACAACAGGTGATGCTGTTGTAAAAACTGAAGTAGCCTGGCTCCGCAGGTAAGCAAGAATCTCCTGCATGCCCAACTGGAGCTAAAAAATACATTTTTTAACATCAGAATTACACAGTCTGTCTGCCTATCCATGTCTGGCCAGATTATTCTGTCAAGCTCTGAACAAAAGGACCCAGTATTCTAAGACAGTTAGGTTTAACAATATGTTTATTTAAGATGGAACTGCAGAGAACAGCGTCAGCATTTAAGGCAGGAATCTCTGCAGGGGGGGGGGGGCACAGTTTACTGACAACGTTTATCTGGTGGAGGATTATAATGAACATACAAGTCACTAACCTGGTGTTAAATTTCAGTCCGTGCCGAGAGGATCAGGTTTGTTCAAGCCAGATGGCTGCCAACAAGATTCTCCGTCCCCGACGTCAGTGGGTCCCAGACACCAAATACCTAGAGGTCGGAGAACAGGGAACAGAGGGAGAAGCCAAAGCCAGTGTGGAGGACCTGCTTGGGAGTCAAGATTAGAGGTACAAAGAGGTGCTGTTGGGAAATTCAGAATGGTGTCAGGAACTGTTCCAGGTTCATTACACAGCTTGAATCAAGCAAAAGTCTGAGAACAGGGCAGGCAAACAGATCAGAATGGTAACAGGCTGGCTCAGAGGTTCAGAGGCAGAACGAATCAGGATCAGGCAATCATAAACACTCAGGTACACTCCTGAGCAA